TCACAAGTAATTTCAAATTTTATATGCAACTTATATCCCGAATTTAGATAACGTATTTTCTTCCACATAACAAATGCTTGGTGACCCATGAAAGACTGGAGAAGGAATTTTATACCTGGACACCATCATTTCTTTGTTTTCTTCGTTTCAAAGAAGCTTGAATCTGTAATTGGAACTCACGGACAGCATTAAGTATTTCCGCGAAAAATTTTCTTTTTCTGGTCTCTATTTGATTCTTCTCCTCCTCTTCCAATTTTGACAATCTCTGCATAGGAGGTTTTAGAGGCAAAGGTGAAAAGCAAACTTTAGTCCATTCCAAGCACTGGCCGTAAACCATCAGAATAAACCATAATAGGAGCATAACAACAGTTGGAGGAATCCACCAAAAAGCTGGCACATTACCAATGCGGCAATAAGGCCTCATCATACAGAGATATGAACTATAACATATGTTATTACATTATACGGAAAGCCATTTCAAACACAAACAGAGGAAGAAAATATTAATATATATAATCACCTCAGCGTCCCTTTTCTTCCTTAACTGATCATCAGCATCCATGGCAAATGGATCTCCAACACCATACATAGGACGACGCAACCGCATCATTCCCCAATCAAACAACTGCCTGCCAGGATGTGCACATTTAACATTGAGCCAGTATTCAGCACTCACATCAGATCGAACCTTCTTCTGCAACTCTCCTAGCTGCCAAAAAAAGGTCCTTGCCAACAAGGACACAATTCATGTCATTTCTCGGCTCTAGTTAGAAAAAACAAATACATATGCGCTAATTACCCTCACTAGAAAAGACCCTTTACCCACACATTATATTACAATGAAGAGAAAGCTAGATGTTGCATCTGCAAAATGTTTGACTTCATACATTGGATAAATTTAGCCACATTTAAGGGCAACACAACCACAAGAGTGTTCTAATTTAAAACTAGTCAAAAGACATAAGTGCCGACTAGCTTCTAACTTCTAACAAAGGCAGAACTTGGCCAAACTCAATGACAATTCAAAAGCCACAGAAACAACAGAAGTTTCCAACTTCACATTGCATAAACAGACATAAAGTCTGTCTATCTTCTAGGATAGGCCAAAGCCCACCTATAATATATGCATATATATAGCTTCTAAGATAGACATGAGCCAAAATACAGTAAGTGTCAAAGAAGGATTTCAAGAATCAAGTTTACCTTCAGTCCATACAGTTCAAGTAGGCACTTTGTCTGCAGGTCCTCTCCCCTGCTTGAAGGCAATCCTGGTTCAAAACAATACTGCGTCTAAGTAAATTTTTTCTAAGATCGTTGATATAACTTAGGCCAATCTCAGTCAATGCACAAGACAAGTGAGTTATGTTTAGCATCATTGGCGATAAGGCATTTTTCTTGTGTGATAGCAAAAAAGGCCTGTGGGGTTAGTGAAAGCTTAAGTTCCTTTGATGTGGAAGGGCTTTCTCGGCAAGAGTACCGTTATGAAGGTCTGTAGAAGTCATTCCAAGTGCTATGATGGGGAATAGATGGATGGAGGAGGGCGTTGATTGGGTAAACAGGAAAGCTGAAAGGTGCTGGCGTCCTTACAGGATGAATCTGTATAGGCCCTTCCCTCCTATTCATTCAAAGTGGCCAAGATAGATGGTCTTACGGAAGCTATAGTTCTAAAGGTCATTAGCAGTATGACAACATTATAAAGACAGGTTGATCAATCTATCAATGCTATGAAAATTTGAAAGGATTCATAATAGTATTTCTTGAATGAATTCCCGTACTGAGAGCAGGGATAAGAAATACACACTTTCTACCATGTTAACATAGTGCAAAATTTGTAAGAGAGAAGGTGGTGCTTCTTTTTTACTACAATTGTCAACCTTCAAGTTCATTTAACCGATGCTGAATCTGACTTTTATAACGGCTTTCCCTTTCTTCCTTCAATTTGTAACCTGACACACAGCTTGGTCGTTGTTTCAATAGTGCATCTTCAAGATCCGTCAACAAATCTTCTCTAGAATTTCCTGTATTATCCTGAACAAGGAAAAAAAAAAACAATCGCACAAATTTGCCAAAAGTTAGAAGCTTTATCAAAAACAAAAGGAAAAGGAAAGCCGGGTATAACTGAACAAGAACTGTAACAAAGAATCAGTCAAGATAACAAAATTGTGAAAGACAGGCTAATTGCCCATGAATTAAGTTCCACCTAGGCTGCATGTAGCATGCCCCCAAACACGAAGAACTCATAAATTTTCCCAATTCACAGATAATTCCTGGAGAAAAAACCAAAACTTGGCAAGAACCCATTACAAAGAAACATCCCTAGCTTCACAAACTCCGCCAATTACCCCAAAAATCAGACACCATGAGACAAAATTAAACAAAAATTTCAGATAAAACACCTACCAAAACCTTGTCAGCATGGGCATCCCCCTGTTTCTCCTCAGATCCGGCTCCACCCCCACTTCCATCAGGGACCTCGCATTCATGGTCATCACTAGAAGCATCTTCGGCGCCGTGATAGATGGAAGAAACGGTGTTGAAAAGATCAGGAGGCAGAGGGAGGTTACGGGAGACAAGGTTCAGAGCACAAATGAGGGTCTTGGTCTTCTGGGCATGATCAATGGGTGGCTGCTGCTGCTGTTGGCTCTGCAGCTGAGCCATGAGCGTGGCGGGAGCGAAGCAACGGTTTGCTTATTTAACGAATATTTGAAAGAGGGAATTAATCTGTGCTTGCTATGCCTTTTGAGTTTAGAGTGACAAACAAAAACACACTCTTCTTACAAAGACAATACAAACATACGCACGCTCACGCCCTCCTATTATCGTTTCAATGTTTCACTACTTCGCCCAAAACCCTCCCTTCGCCGCTTTCTCTCTCTTCGCTTATAAACGGGGATGCCTCGAGGGTCTTGTTGCCAAGTGCCTTCTATATGTTTATTCCAAACACGGCTCTAAGTTTACATGGTAAGACATTTATGCCCCTCCAAGTCCCGTTTGTATTTTGTTGGCAAAAAACACGTCCCGTTTGTATTTTAACTTCCTTTGTTTTGGCTAAAAGAGTATTTAGATGAAATTAAAATTAAAATTTTCAAAATAATTTTACAGTATGCGAAATAAATATATAAAAAAATTTATCTCAACTTAAAAAAGATGTTTTAAAAAAGTACTTTTTAAAATACCCAAACACTTCCAAATAATTATAAAAGTTAACTTTTCTAGCAGTTCTATAAAATTTTATGTATTTTGTATTTTTAAATCACAATTATTTCTATTTTAGGTCTAAATGGTTTAATTGTGAAGTACAATTTCAAACCATTAATATAAAACACTTAAAAAGCGTCAATTTCTTGATTTTAACTCTAAGAGTTACTTTTCAAATGGTGCGAGAAGTTTAACTTTCAATTTTCAACTTCTTGAAAATTTTATATTTTTATTTATGAGTACGGAAACAAATCACATCTCAATAAGTTTTACTCATCCAATAAAAACAAGCATCAGAATAATTATAATGTACTGTTATCATTATTGAAAAATTAGATTTTATGTTTAGAAGACAAATTATTCATTACCATGTGTCTGAATTGTATATCTTCTTAATTTCATCACATGATATAGACTTTTATTTTAAATGTAAAACTATATTAAGTCAAATGTTAAATACTTTTTATCGAATATCTCCTATTAATTTAAATATACACATCTAATTTTCTTACTACGATGCTCTCTCATACTTCTTTAGAGGGTATTTTACTAAAAAAAAAATTGAAATAAAAAACGTATACTATAAAATTCTGAAAAAATGTGAATAAGTTGGGTTCAAGATAAACTTTTTCATTACTATTTATATATATCACAGAAAAAAATTATTACCTTTCTATCTTATTAATAAATACTTAATTTAAAATATAACATCCAATTATTTCACTTCGTGTTCATTGTAATTTTATTATTTAAGATATTATTATATGGCACTTAACAATTGTATCCATTTTCAGTCACGCAAAGTCACATTCTCAATGGAAGCATCAACTCGTAATGGCTTACGGGCATTGTCCCCCCAAAATCCAAACACAAACAAAAGCACTGATGGGTCAACACTAAATATACCAGAAATGATTTTATTTTTATAACATTTTGATTTGTTCATGGTTAAATATTTCATCTTTTATCACTTACAGATATCTTGATGATCTTGCAGTGAAGTATTCAAACCCTGTCGACGTAAAAACATACCGTTAGTCAAGTCTTAAACCAACTATGTTATGCCACGCACGATAAACAGAAAGCTTGAGGATTACAATTACGAACAAGTAATACTCCTCCGGTCTTTAATATAGGACCTATTTAACTAATTTGATTATATTAAGGAAGTTAGGTAAGCTAGTTAATTATAAAAATTGTGACACATTTTTCCTAAAATACCATAATCATCTTTCTTAATACCCCTCTCTATCTTCTACTTGATTATGGTTGATGGAGTATCTATAGGGGTAATTTAGAGAAAATTAATAATATGAGAAATGAGTCTTATATTTAGGACCAAAACCAACTCACTAATTGGATCCTATATTAAGGACCGGAGGAGTACTAATTATTTAAAAGGAGAATGACAATTAAGAATTCTATAATAAGGTTAAAACTAAATTAAGACCTCACCACAACTTGGTTCCTAAATTTAGTATTTATTTCTCTATATTTCAGCACTAATTTTTTTTCCTAAAAAAATTATTTTATAGTATTAACATTCTTATAAAGTCCTTAATTGCCATTCTCCCTTATTCAGACCCTCTAATGTACATATAAACACCATCTTATTTCCACATTCTCTCAGGTTATCTTTAAACCAATTATTCTCTCAACAACTATTGTTTTTTTCTTTCGGCGTTAACTCTATCATTGATGCCGAAGGATTACGTCCAGAGCACTCTTCTACCATCCCCAAAACTTCCAAAATTACAAATTCCTTTCTATTAGTTTGATACCATCTTTTCAAGGCCTGGACAAGAAACAAAAGCCCTTCAGGAAGGACTAAAAAGTTTAACACGCTTACGCAAAATATTAGTTACAACTGTCATGCATAATACTTTCTGCATGTACTTTTCTGATGACGCAGCAGAAAATCCAGCATAACCCATAAGCAATTATAAATGGCATATACAGATGGGCCAGCATGGAAGCTGCTAGTTAAGGTAAACAAGGTGCCGCAACAATTTCACAAAGGTCCTGAAAAGAATAGTACAAGTGAGCAACATAGTGTTCCCTTTAGAATGTAACTGTGTAAGTACGGGGCGAGATTCAAACTAGGCTATTTCCCCTGTCAAAGAGCAGAAAACCATGGACCCCGTCCTACTTTTAGCCGGAGTTTGCAGAATTGTCGCCTCAACAAAACCTGAGGGATCCATGACTAGGAAATAAAGCCAATGCAATGAATGTTTGATGGCCACGGGTATTCTCCACTAACTTAACGTTCAACTCTGCAATGCACGGCTGATTGGTTCTTGGAAATACTGGAGAGAGATCAAGATAGCTTCCTGTATTCAAAAAGATGGAAATTTAACAGTGACAACATTCTAAACAGGTAAAAACTTTTTTACACTTTTGGCTAGCAAAAGACAAAAAAGGTTAGGTTGATAGTACCTCAGTCCGGATTGTCCGGCTCCCCTGATGAGGGCATGTGTTCAAGTATAAATGGAATACATCGCCTGCATTTTTCCCCTTTTTTAAAATTAATACAAGGGGCGGGGAGCAGCGAGGAAATTTTATTCAGCACCGTTGTACATCTATGATAAACAATCACACGCAGCTCACAAAGACGTCCAAGACTGCTAATTGTCACTATTTATGAAACTATGAAATTCTGTACATGTAACTCGAGAAATTTAGAAGAATGAAGACAAAAGAGCTCACAACAAACAAAAAATCAACCCAAAAACACAGAAAACATTTTTCATGAACTGAAAGGGCATCCCGCAGGAGTGGTTTTTGCAACTTCTAGGGAATCTCGGGTTGGCAGTTGTTTTGAGACGGGAACCACAGGTACCACATAGATATGATTTATTGAACAAAGGAATACCTTTAAGACATCATCTTCTTCAATGCATTCTTCTAACCCAGCAAGTCCACCAAAGGCAATCAGTAAGTGCCTACCAAATTAGACAAACAAGCAAATCATAAATTAAATTTGAATGGAAACAACTTTGAATCATCGCAAACATATAATTTTATTTAACGTTCACACTTCACTGCTTCAGACATACCCAGTTTGTGAAGCTTGAATTAAGTAGAAGGACTTCACCAGTGGATTTTTTTTTCTCTTTAAAGAAAAAGAACACTAGAAAGAAGACTCTTTAAGCTCCAATAACATTTACATAATAAGATGACAAATTCACAAGGAATGAATCAATAAAGGAAACAAGTTCAATGCAAAACTACCGTAATTATTTATGCGTAAAAACAATTATAACGTATTGTAGAAGGTGAAATATATGATCTCCCTGCAGCCAATACAGAGGCAAATTTTATATTTTTTGTTTGCTTGAATAAGCAATCTACATAGGTTAGAATTAGCACGTAAATAATCTATCTGATATAAAGAATTTTATAACTGGTAATACGCCAAATACCTGAAGGATGGAATTTTAAGATCAGATGACTTGATAATCTGACCGTGCTCAGAGGTGCCAATTATATGATCATAGCCACCCTGTCATAATAACACAAGTTAACACGAGAACAGGCATATGAATTAAAGTAAAACAAAAATTATGGTATATGGATGTTAGAAGGAAAAGTCCAAGATGGAAAAAAAAAAAAAAAGGGAGAGAAGGGATACCTTGTATGTGCAATCTTTAAACACTGAACTCAGATTATGCGCATAACGCACTTGATATCCCCAATATAGTCCTTCTTCCCTAGGCTTGGATGATGAGACAATCTGATGTGGTAAATCTAGATGAATGAAAAAGATCGTTGTAATTCCTAAGCATCGAACTTGGTTTCAAACCAAAGAAAGATTACACAAGCAATCAAATAGCCAAATAGTAAGCATCAGCAAGCCCCCGTCTATAACTGAAGCTTCTTCAGAACCACACTTCCTCAATAATCACCTTAGCCTTTACTTTCTCTTGCACTAAATGAAATTTTTCTTGTTTTTATCAAAGCCTAATATGTAAGAAGGGCAGATGATTCATTTCAAGAGAAGAAGAATAGAGCTTAACTTAGAACATCTGTGAAACATTTTTCCCACTTGCAGATTAAGTATTTGGCCAGAAATTGCTTTTGGAAATTATATTTAGTTGACCTCTGCAATGATCTCTTATTGTGCATAAAGGCATGCTATAAATATGGAAGAAAACTCCACCAACCCTCCCAAAAAAATCTTGAAAGGAAAAAAACATTGACAGAAATTCTGGGATAGAACAAAAAAGAACAGTACTCTAAGGAAATGGCATATCAGAATTAGATTTTAGAACCTAAAATTTGTCATAATGAGATAGCAAGAGAAACAAATGAAAACCCAAGGCTGATAATGAAAGGTTGCACGGGAAAGGAAAGAAAGTCGGTTTCCCCCACTCCCCAAGGATAAATACCAAACAAAAAAGCCATCTCTTTAAGTGAGAAAACAAAAGATTAAGAAAATGGTACTGCATTTGACCGACTCACAGTTGGAGGTAGGAAGATGGGCAATAGTTTGAAGAAGCTGAGATATATAACATAACAGCAAGAAGGATGAAAATATAGTTTGCACAGTCCTATAAGGATGGCGTGGTTTATGGTGACTATCGTGTGACACAATTTATACCAAAAAAAATGATTGTAAAACAGCTTAAGCAGATCAAAATAAGGAAGATAAACAAAGATCAATTTATTACCAGAATCCAGATTGCGGTTGGCACCCATTGCCACAGTAACTCTTCTTTGTGGCTCAAGTTCATGGTCAACTATAACATGCTGCAGGGGTTGTGTGCTAAATTAGAACGTACACAAAGACACTCAATACTTTCCATTTCCAATGACCAAGTGTATTTGGTAAATGACTTTTGGAGAGAGAGAGAGAGAGAGAGAGAGAGAGAGAGAGAGAGAGAGAGAGAGAAATGATGAACAAACAACGGATGGTCAGGAGTGTTTCCATCTATACACAATAGTTAACAGCCAACAAAACAACATTGAGATTATATCGGATCAAATGTCTTCCAGTGCTAAAAAGAGGTGAATATCAGGATAATGCTTCAAGGCACTCACTACTAACAAACGTCAGAAGAGAAATAGGGAAAGAGAATGAGTGAAAGATAAAAGAAAAGGAAACAAAGGAGTGTTCAACGAAATGAAAGCGACTTGCTGACTGATGCCAAACAAAAATTGTTTAGCTCCACGTTAAGTAAATTATGAGATAATATGCCCATACCTTATTCAAACCCACATCAACTAGTGTTCCTCCAGAATTTGAATCTTTTTCTTTTAGGGTGACACCTATAAAATTAAGGCAATATATCAAAAATCTGGCCAGAGTAACCATGGCAGTAAAACAATGAACGATGCAGTAAATGATCTTATTCTACTTTTTTAACCAGAGAGAGGAGATATTTTATCAAAAGGGGCGAAAAGTGCCTTCAAATAAAGCGAGGGATAGTATGCCTGTATAAATGGTAAAAAAATATAAAAAGAAATAAACAAGATAATTAACACCATAAACCTTGTCAAACAAGAGAGGCTCAGAGGGCATGTACACAATCATACTACTCTCAAGTAGTTACTATCACAATAAATCTTGTCATATCCATCAACATATCACGATGTAATTAGCATATAATTAACATATATAAAATAAAACATCATGGCCCGATGATAATGATCATGTTCGTAGCAACTTAACCTCTCCTAGCATGAACAGTGTATTGCAGCAAACCATATCAAATCTTTGAGTGCCTCACTAAAAAGTCAAAATTTCAGGTTGTGAAGTGAGAGCAATAAGGTGAGAAAATATTCCTGATAGCTTTTTTATTTTTTTCTCCCTTCACAAATAACTACTATTTCTCTTTAGATGCAACCATGTTTCAACAGTCATAGACAGCATTTTCATAATACAAAAGGACCCCTATGGAGCTACCCATTGATATGCTGTAAATGCAGGGTTATAATATCTCGCATAGGTCGGTCAATGACAAACGAAGATTAAAATCGAGCTTCCATGAACGAAGAATTCTACTTTTCATTTACTAGAAGACGTGGCGTAGAAATTTCAGTTGAACATGAAAGCCTACCTTCTCGATATGGACCCCATTCATGTTTACGCAAATGGTGTGGAGCATCAAGGGGTGGCAACAAGCCCTGTTAAGCATAATACAAATTGCCAAAGTTAGACACGGAACAAAGATTGAATAAACAAATTTAAGAACCGCAGTTACTAGCTGTAGTAGTAGGAAAGCTGCATTTCAGTGAATTGGTCGAACCACAAATCTCAAGCTGTTATGTTTTGGGAAGAGAGCCTTTCTTAGATACTGGGGAGTTTCAAGATACTGTAAGATTCTCATGAGGAAAGCTGCACCACTTTCTTCATCTGTGTTATCCGGTTTCGCAACATTGTAGTCTTTATCTGCGTTCCTTTTATTGTCAAATACGACAACCTATTCGGACAACAAGACTGATCTATATGAGCAATATAGCTTAGTCAACTTTTCATCATACTATAGAACATCGGGAGGAATCAATAATTTGAAGCACATCTAATCATAAAAATTGAAAAAGAAAAAAGAGTAGCATCCTCAAGCAATTAATGCAGACAGCAACCTCGTGGATTCGGAAAATAGTGGCAGCACGAGCTATTTCACCAGCCAACTGAAAAGGGGGAAATTGAAAAGAATTCTCAGAATTAAAGAGAAGAGAAATAGAACAGGGGCATCTTGAAAAATGCTTTCTTCTTTGGGTCCTAAACAAAAATGCAGGAATTTCCCGTTCTCTGTACTTCCTTAGTAATCAAACAAAACCCAGACAGGGGAGAAAGTGTACTCGAGTAGCAAGCTCGTAAGATTGTGTATTGTCAATGATAGAACCAGGCACGGCAATGCTGACAGTAGGTATTTCCTTGGCTTTGTGATCCTCCTCCTCAATGTTCCTTCTCTTTTCCTTCTTCCGGAGCTTCTTCTTCATCTTTTGAGCATCATCATTAATAAGCTCGCAGTCGTTTTGTGGCTCTTTCACTTCTTTTTCTGCCTCTGAATCCGTTCTTCTCTTCTTTCCCATTTCTGCTGCGTCTCTGCTCGGTCTGGAACCAGAGCGGAACCCGACGTCCCTCTGGCCCTGGAGGGTTTTAGCTTAGGTGCAAGAACCCTTTTTTTTTTCCCCCGGGGGGGGGGGGGGTGGTTATGTGCTGGGACAAAATTGGAGCTTTAAATATTAAACTTCTCCAAATTGACATTTACAGAACACAATCCCAAATCAATAAACATAATAAACATATATATACGTGGGTGTACGCATGTATATGACGGTATAAAACATTTCATAAATTTATGTTATTTGCTCTCTAATTTTTCATATGGGTACTGTGTTTTCGCATTGTGAATCTATGGATTAGCTGCTTAATGATAAGGTGGTTGTGAGTGACGGGGAATCGTGTCGTGTTAGTTAAATGGTTTTGCTATACGCATATTTCAGTTTTTAAAAAAAACAAAGAACAAAAAAGGAAAAAAGTCTCCTGCATATTTCTATATTCCATGTTAAACGCTGAATCGATCCATAAATTTTTTTGATTACAAAGCTTAAAATTTTCATAATATTGTATTGAAATAAAATGTTGTGATCCTCACGCAATTTAAACTAATTACAACTTGAATTAACTTTTTTGTTGTTCGATGCTCATTTGGCAAGAAATTTACTGCACGTATTAATGTCATCACAGAAGGAATATGATAACATTCAGGCCAAAAAAAAAAAAAAAAGAACGAACATGACAACGAATCAAATGCCATTATACCGCAACAACGTCATCAAGCATGAACACGATTTTGCAACCCTTTTTTTGGCCTAGATATTGCCTTAGAGTTAAAGGATTTAATTTAATACAAAAAAAATTTAAATGGGTTACGAATATCAATTCATATAATTACAGGCAGTAATATTAGTTATATAGTCATATTTAAATTTTAAATGTCTCAATTGTAATTGAGAAATTTGAATTTGCAATTATTTGAATTATTTCTTGCAATTTGTTTATATAAAAAACTTGTTGGAAACCTAACTATCATAAGTTCCCTCTCTTAGTACTACCTGCCATTCATGATTCACCCTAGCCCTTTTTTATTTTTCTTGTTAATTCTTTTGGCGCCAGTTTTTGGACCCATGCCTCACTTTCAAGCGACACAGTGAACTGAAACGCCTCACTAAATTTTGTCAAATTATATGAGTGCTTATTGTCTGATTCAAGTTATTATATGATACCAACCTCCTCCCTTTACTGTGTGTTCTCTTCGCATTGTATGATTCAAGTTTAAAACCGAAATGTCAAACATCTGAAATGGCGAAGGACGAGGAGGAGAAAAAGAAAAGAGGGCAGGAGAAGTAATTGGCGAAGAATTATTGATTCCGCAGATTGAGCATGAGACGACACAGAAAAAGGAAGGCGATCTGAGGAAAGCACCACATATACCATTTCCTGTAAACACAAACTCCTAGTTTATATTAACACTCAGCTTTATAAGAGAATCTGGATAAGGTATCAAAACCTAAGAAAATTACTGAGGTGTTATCCTTTGTTCTGAGTGTTCTAGCCTCACTCAACAGCAAATTTGCAATCTTTTCCGCTGAATTATCATCATCTGTCGAGTACTTGTCTCTCATCTGTGCAGTGCAAAAAGCAATCTGTTAGAGCAAGTTAACGAGGAGGCAGCTGAAATAAATTATCGCCAGAAACTTCGAGTTTCTGTACAAGACCTGAAGCACTAGCTGAATTGCTTTCTTCCCGCTCATGACATCCCATAGCCCATCACTGTAAGATTGCAGATGCAAAAGTTATATTCTAAAGGGTCAAAGCACCATGCTTGCGTTTTAGGAAGCGAATCACATTAATTTGATCAACTGGTCCTGGGTTCTTGCAATGAAAATTGAAATTTTATAAATGCATGCATCAGCAAGTAAATTTACCTTGCTAGTATGGCAAAAGCCCTGCTTGCCTGATCAATGTGCACAACTTGACTTATATAAGGCTCTGAACTGAAACGAGAATCCTGCTGTTTAAGAAATTTGTCTCCAAGCATCCTCGCAAGATTTATACCTGTATAGAGGTGAGAAGCAAGATTAGATTGCTGATTCAATATCAAATCCAAAAAAAAGTAACCAATAGGCGTTGGTCCGAGTTGAAGGAGCTTTGGCCACTTAAACACGAGGCCTTGAGTTCAAATTCGTGTATATACAAAAAATACCTTGGGCCGAGCAATACTCAAACCTGACCCCGTCAGCTAATCATATTGGGGAAAAAAATCCAAGAAAAGTACATTTGAATTTAAATTGATACCATATAGACGTGTTTCCCCATCTCTCAGAGGTTCGCCTGTCTCTTCAATTCGTAGCCTTTCAGAACAACTTGTCACCTTATGATCTTCCGTCATCCTAATTTCTTTATCATCAACACTGCCAGAAGAATAAATTGACAATTAGTTCATATTGGCATGAAGGATATGGTCACAAAAATTACAGTCCACATAAGCAGTAAGCCAAAATAATTACATATAAATCATACTTAAGTTCAAAAATCAGAGAAAAGTCATTAGGAAGGTGAGAACAAGGCCATTATTGGCACTGAACTTGTTGCAAAGACGAGAAGGAGACACCCTAAAATGCCAGAGAAACTCGAAGTAGACAATTTTATAAATGTAACTGCGATCAACTGCAAGTAAAAGAATATGGCATTATCTGCTTTCATTGAGATTCTTGGCTATTCTTGTAGAAAACTATTATCTAACAGCGTGGTCTACACATCTCAATGCCACATCATCATACAAGATGTCTATTATGCTTCTTGCTTTTTTGTAAGTTTCGTTGCATGACAGAAAAGGAAAATGAGATAATGTGATTGGGAATGATATCCGTACACTAATTAAAAAATAATAAAAAAGAGACACAATTACCGGATGATGATGATGATAGAATCATAATAGACATTTTACAAAGAAGAAGAAGTAATTTTCATTTTTTGTGCTTTCCTTTTCCAATTTATTTCTTTTGGCCAATCAAAAGTTTAGTGAGGATGGCATAAGCCATTAACCATATTATAAATGATAAACATCTGATAGCCTGCTAGTCATCTTGCCTACAAAGGATATAAATTCCACATGATTTATCTGAACATTTATTTAGTTCAATAATAGAGAAACATACTTCATAACGCAGGCAGAGTCTCCAACATTTGCACATTGTGCAAAGAAATTTTCATTGCCATCACCCCAAACTAGAAGCACTGTAGCTGTACATCCCTGAAAAGCGTTTATTGTTAAAAAGAATAAAGCAAAACATTCAAACATCCTTGATGGACCCAATGTTGATGGGCCTCGGATTTTCAAAGCTTATAGCAGGAAAAAGACAAATAGAATAAAAGAGAATCATAGAGAGGAATAATGTGTTCCCCTTAGTAAGGTGCCTAAGAGTAACTAACTCGTTCTGTGAGAGGAGCGCACAAGCAGGGTGGGAGATTCAGAGAAAGAATGAGATGTCGGTATAAGATTATAAGGATGTGCCTTTTGTGGCCTGTGGATGATAGGAAAAGGTTGGAGGCTTGGAGTAATCAGAATTCAGAGGTGGGGGCTGAGTAATCTTCCTCCACTTTTCCTCTTCTTTCACCACTCTCATAGAGTTGGCAGAGATTTAACACTCTTGATTTGCCCCCTTAGTTCATCAAAACATGAGTTTAAGGTGCAAAAGGCATCTGAAGATCTTTTTCTTTTCAACCAACTTATAATAATAGGATGCGTCCTCTAAACATGACCAGTTGCAGCACGAAGGCCCTGCTGTGCTAGTAAAAGTGAGCAGTTTAAAATCATGAATAAGTTCTTCCACTTCTAAGATGACGGCAGTGTGCTCTTTGAAGGTGTGAGATTCTCAGACATTTTCCCCAGATCTCCTTAGCAGATTTGCAAAGGAGACATGTCTTCCCAAAAGAGGCGGTCACTGGTCCTGGTCCTGGAGTTGACCAACCAAGACATCAACACATTGTTTTTCTCCTCCCCACTAAACTTTGGAATACTGATGTTTAAGAAAATCAGAATGTGATGATGGCAGGGTCAACCAATACCATACAAGTAATAAGAAGATCCAGAAAGCCGAAGACAAGTTCAATAAGATAAATCAAAAGGGTAATAAATATACCTCATAATAGTGATTCATGCAAGCTTCTGTTTGAGAAAATGCATCCCTTAGAACATCTGAAGCATCACAGAGTGATACAACCTTCTCTCTTTTTAGTGAATCTGATAATATATTTGCAACTATCTCAGGGAAAAGTCTGGTTAAAAATTGCATAAAAAAAGAATGCGTTAGGTTTCAAACTTAACTATCTTGAATTAGTAAGTAAAATCCGTAAAGAAAACTACTTAAAAAATACAAAGGCTGGGATTTTGAAGATCATATATCCCAATACACTCACAAGTCACATTATAGTAGCTTCTACTGTCAGAAACTACCAGCAAGAACAGGGTACGGGAGCTAGTTAATTACATAATTTATGGCAACGGAGAAAAGGGATCCAGAATAATTTTAGAACAGATACAAACATGATCTGCTCAAAGTGTTTAACCTCGTATATTTTGTCATTGGATAATTAAGTTTAGATGGTCTGACCAATTATTTCATACAATGATTAAAGGAAAGCATGTCTCAGCTACAGTGTCATTAGGTATTGGCCGAGTCAGAACCTTCGATATCCACTGTTAAATTGATACAGATCAAGGTGACAAGTTAGGTGGGCGCCCATGTATTGCAGGGGACCGAGGGAATGAGCTGCATCGTTCCTATAGACTTCATATCTTATACTGTTATATTGGTATCAAACTGGTGTTGATGATCTGTATGTTACCAGATCGTAGTGTTTTACAATGTGGGGGAAAAATACTAATGTGAAATGAAGCTTTGTCACAGCCCACATTCATCAGACCATAGGGCAGAGTACAAGCTTCAAAACAAGCAGCAGACAACAAATGCAGCATAGAATACTAACTTGCTAGCAGATCTGGCAGCCCCATCTCCACCATGCCCATCACAAACGCCAAACAGACCAAACTGCAAGCTAAGCATCTAGATGGGTTAGCTACCAACAGGGATGTGCACAATTTTGAATATACAAAAAAATGGAAGAAACCTTGACAGAACAAGCACTGTGTATAAATCCAGAACCTTATCTAACCCAAGTAAAGGCCATTGATAATAGCAAACATCTTCCATGGCCAGCTTTTTCCCTCCTCGACGCCTAGACATGGGATCTGATGCCATACCAACTCCAAAGGGAATGTGAATCTTATTTTGAGAAGTAATATGAACCTAACATACATGAAAAACATGTAATAAATTAAATAGGCAGGCCCAAAAGAAGAAAGATTCACATCATGGGCTATAGAATTTGAACTTAACAATGTAGCACACTCATTCTGAGTAATCCTGAGCAAACAACTTTGTACAGAAGGAAGAAGTAAGATTTATAAGAGAGCTTGGTAAAACTGTACATAAAGTTGAACTTTGTTACCATCAGATAATCACTCTCCCCATAACAAAGAAGACAGAAACATGCATTCCCTAGTTCCTTTCTCCAAAGGAGTGCAGTGATATAGTTTTTCTGTTTCTTGGGGTATCAAAGGAATACAAAAAAAGTACAGCACAAGTCAATCTAGCAGGAAAGGCTTCCATGGTACGAAACATCAAATCACTAGATCACAATAGAAATTACATCATTTAATGAAATTAGTCAAATTGTCATCTTGAATATTCATGCATAAAATAGTTCCAATGAGTTTATATATTTTAACATCAAAACTAGGAAAAAAAACATTCTTGAACAGCAAATGAGAGCAAAACACTGAATTATATTCAGCAACTAGATCTATTCCGCCTTAGACTTGCAGTTAATCTCTCAACAGCTAATATCATGCACACATTAGTGACAAGTTTTGAAGGTGCTGCATTTTAAAAATGCATTACTTACAATTACTTTTGATGTCATTCCCAGTGTTATGATATCTCCATTAGCAAGCTCAATTGGATTACTCCATTGCCTGCTTCCGGGGTCTAAATGTTTGATTGGTTGAGAATTCAAAAGTGTCCCATTAAGGCTACCCATATCTACCAACTCCCATTTCATTTTCTGAAAGCAATTCAACAATAGTTAATGTACCATATACATCCTGCAAAATCCACCCGCAGGTCCAACAGCCAACAGATAGGAAGAGGGTTTACCTCCAAATTCCAGTTTATTAGGGCATGCTTTCCTGACACTTCTGAATCCTTTATTAACAAATCACTTGGGGAAACTCTTCCCAGGGTCAGCGGTAGCTTGGATGGAATTGCTGATTGTACAGAACAACGGAGTCCACGAGAAGGACCAGTGATCACCTCTAGAGTGAGGCAACTTCCTGCACCTCTAATAGAGACATATGATAACATGCTTTACACATTCGGCAAAAATGCAAATACAGAGAAAATTGACAATAGCCTAACTGAAAGAAGAAATTACTTTGATCTATTATATCTCTCTGTACAAAGTCTTGCAGTCTGTCAGTTTCAAAATTTTTATTATGCTTCTGAAACTCTGCAAACTGGGCTGGGGACAGTTTAAGTGTCTGGCCAACAGCAACGTCTTCTGAGGGAACAGAAACTACATCTAAAGCCAAATTATCACATGGGGATAATTATGTAAGCGTATTACAACATTGCAAAGTAGCATAGGAAAAATAGGATAAAATAGCTTGACTGCACGTTAGTAGCATTAAGGTAGAATACCTTGAGGCATGTGGCAAGAAGCAGCAGAAAGCCTTTGCTTATAAATAAGTCCAGGGGGTCGCGGTGGGCGAAAATAACCTTCATTGGGGATGGATGCACCCTCAAGATCATAGTCTATAGGCAATTCACTACTTGGGTTATGCACCAAATTTGCATCATCTAAGACAAGAGGCCTCTCAAGTTCATTACCCTACGAAAGTAACATTCATCAAGAATCATATGCACAAGGTCATGAACATTGTTTGAACTTTGAACTATGGAGTACAAATCATCAAACAGATTTATGAACAAAGAAGTGGTCAAAGCATTTTCCTTTGATCCTGAACCATAACCATGGGATGTTTCTTTCAAATTACATCCACTCCTACGTCACTAATCAACTCATATCACATAAAGGAAAATATAACCAAGATTACATCGACAACAACCTGAAGAGACACATCACGGCTGCAACCAATAGGGAAATATGTGTGGAGTTAGAATTGGCGGCTAAGATATACGGTTGAACTTAAAGTTCAATTAACTCCGAGCAAATATTTTCTAGTTTAATCCGTCAGCTCGAAATTTGGAAATAGCCAGAACAAACAGGAAAGAGGAAATAAGTAACCCCAGATCAATACTGAACCAAAATATGTTTGTAAACCACAACCTCGAATAAATTACGTCATAAGTTTCCGAGCAACTCAATGGACTCGCACGAGACTGGAAAGAACGTCAAAGGCTAAACCTTTACGCAGTTGTTTCTTTCTGTGGACCATAGAGGAAAGGCTGAAATCAAGCCTCCCCATCACTCCTCCTCCCCCCCCCCCCGGTCGACCTGACAAAATAAATCAACATACACGGAGAGCATGGAACAGAACTTCCAATATTCTGATTGGGATTCCCGGAACCAAACAGAGCTTTCTATTAAGAACATTATTTTGAAATTCGGATGACCAGTTCTTTTCATAAATGGACAATAGGAAAATAACGAGGATAGTGATAGTAAGAATAAAAACCGGAAGTACCTTGATGGAGGAACGGGGCCGGGAAGAGAAAAGGAAGCGCCATGGTTTACAGGCAAAGAAGACAAGGACGACGATGAGAATGAGCATAGTGAGAAGAAAGAGACTGACAATGCTGTCTACAATTGCCATCTTCTTCGTTCTCTCTCTTCTCGTCCGAAGAGAGTCGTGATTGGCTCGGGGGTTGCGGGAAGCTCGCTTCGAAAGAAAGAGGTCGCACTATAATTTTCTTACCATTCCATCGAAATCGAATTTAACCGCCGGATTACAACGCGTATTAATCCATGCATCGTAATGGTTTTAGTTTTTTTTGTTGCCCCGAGACCGTGACTTAATTAATTAATTTAAATAAATTAAAAATATTAATTAAATTAGTTAATGTGATATAATTTTTTAAACATTCTAAGTATTTTTTTATTTTTACTTAGGAAAATATTAAGGAAGAATCATAATTAAAGATCTTAAAATTTAAAAAACAAATAGGAACTCGTGACAACTTTATTATGGTTTTTGGCACTAATAATATATCATGAAGTTATCAAAACCCATAATGAAGTTATCACTGGTCCTTATCTGCGTTTTTTAAATTTTAGGATCTTTTTTTATGATTTTCCCAGATATTAATAAGATTAATTTAAAAAAAATTAATAATTATATAAAATAGATCTTATATATAAGATCATCATGAATTTTCTAATTAACTTTTATATTAAGCAGCGGGGAGTATTATTTACATTTTACAATTTACACGGCTGTCAATTCCTGCCATATATACATGTATCAAAATTGATATCCGTGATAACTACTTTTTCAAATGCCATACGTATTAAGTAATGGGACAAAAATATGATGATATTTGCTTAAATAATACTTATTTGGTTCTTAATATAAAGCTTAATTAATTAATTTGAATAGATTAAAGATATTAGTTAAATTAGTTAGTATGATATGTTATTGATTATTGTTGGAGGAAACATCAATGGGGTTAATTTAGAAAAAAATTGATAAACATGTAAAACAAATCTTATATATATGACCAACATTAACTTTAAATTAGCTCTTATATTAAGAACAATAAAAGTATAATATTATATACAAGTTAACTATAATTTTTAAAAGGACACGTTAATGTTAACTTTAAGGAATGAATTTTTAATGCTTTGAATAAATACATGCATGTGCATATAAAGTGATTGAGAAATTAAATGATACAGTGTGTGATCGAAAAAATAGTTTGGGTTCTATGTTAAATAAATTGACATGTTTTTGTCCATTTGTGGATAATTTTGTGAGGCGGGCGAATTAGACGCATCATTAACAGATAAAAATTTTATTTCAATGCCCAGTAAATGGTAAACATTCTTTTTCCTAACAAGACTAATGTGGATTGCTTACTCCGTCGGTATACTTGGATTACTTAGCATTTTGGTCATGTGTCTCTGTACATGGGGGGATGTGAATGTAACTTGGTGGCGACTAAGTTAGGGAAAATTGCTTTGAATTTTCGCAAATACAATTTAATTATTTAAAAATTTTACATCTAGGAAATATCATGTCTCTTAACTTGTTATTTTTATATTAAAATTCGTCATTATACGTTACGCACTCACTCGTTGTAGGATTTTTTAATAAATAGGTTGCTTATATAGGACTGTACAGTGATTTTTTTTAAGAAGTGAGGAGAAAAGCACATTTTGAAATAATCAACCTTGTAAAAAAAAATATATTAAGTCCTGCGTTTCCGAGAATTGAATCAAAATAATCTGCAACAGTAATTGTTATTTCGAATTTACACAGGACACGTATGGATATTATTTTAAAGTGATGTTATTGTTAGGTTCTAGAAATGTTATCAGTCGTGGCAAATATATAAAAATGGGCGAGTTTGGCAGCCAAGGGCTAAATAAATAAAGAAATAAATAAATGTGGATTTTTTTTAATATACATAGTTAAATATTCAAATACTTGTGATGAAGTTGAATCTTGGGCGAGAAGAATCAGCTGCTAATTGGGGGGAGAGATGAAGTGAGGGGTAGGTGGGAAGTAAATAATATTTGCTGGGAAGACAAGCATAAGTTTCTTGAAAGAGGATTAAAAGACAAGTTTACAAGACACTTGGTGATAAAGCAACTTTTTGTTTCTCTCTTTTTGGGGTTTTCTCTCATTTGTCCAATGCTTAGGAAGTACTACTCCTTTAGAGTTATTGGCACGTGAACACGTTATAACCATAAGTTCATCTGTTGTGATGGATAACTTCAATGACTTTGGTTTTGACCTTTGCCATCCTACACGTAAGTTCTTCTGTGTGCCTTTTTTATTCAGATCAGAGCTTAAACTCCTGCAATTGATAATTTATCCATGGTGTCATTTTATATAGGTAATTTTCCACAAAATGTCCTCTGGCGTGTGTGTATAATGATTTGAGTTTTTTCAACGTTATTAAGGCGTCAGGTGTGTGCAAGTGCGCGTGTCCAATGGCCAGTGGCATTGCTCTTAATTGAGCCCATTAATTAAGGTCACTAGTCGTCTTAGCTTAGGCCCGCAGTCTCAGGGTTTTGTTCTTTCCGCACGCTAAGGTCGAAGACCATAAGGACGGGCTTTACCATTTGGTGGTCTTCTAAACAAGGCTTGACAAAAAGGGCAGGGACTTTAGAAAACCCAATGTCTCCTGCTGCTCTATAAAGGACCCAGCTTTGCAGAAATGAAACGTAAGTGGAATTTGCACATTTTAAGTAGCTATAATGGTAATTATCTATTTAGTTTTAAGTGGATATGATGATTCTTTAATTTGCGGAGGCAGATGTGCGAATAAGTAGAAAGGAGAGGTGGTAATAATAATGGAGGGACAGATATATATATTTTGAAAGTTGTGGTGGCTGGTTGGGCGATGCATGCACAAATAAAGAAAGTGGAAGAAGGAAATATGAGTATTTTATTTTATTTTTTAAAAAAATGTTTACATTAGTTGGTGGGGGAACTGAGTTGAGTGGTATGCTTATCTATAAGTCCAATTAGTATTCGTATTAATTATGAATTGCGGGCATGGCGACTAGTAGTAGTGGAGCACACGAGGCATTTGCTGGTTCATTATTTGTGGAATTAACCAATTATATATTTGGCTGAGGCGGAGCGCCTTGTTCATGCCTTACACCGCCACTATATTGGATGACCACCTCATCTAGAGCACTCAAACTTTTTTTCTGCTCTTAATTTACATTTTTTTAAGAAAATAAAACGAATAAGTTGATTGAATAAGGAGAATTTTTGTGGGGCTTTGGAGAAAAGAGAAGGAAATTCAGCAGCCGATCATGTTGCTGTGGAGGTCCGAAAAGAGGTGTACCCGACTGGGTGGGTTAAAGGGCCACCACCTCTTCTAGCTCAAAAGTTTTCTTGCCAAGGACTAGGAAGATGCTCAGCATGCTACATCAAACTTGGGTAGTGGCCTGGTGTCGCTGTTCATGATGGAATTGGCTGAGTTGTGTCTTGCTCTACTGTTTTAAAATTTTCCCCTTTTTTTTCGTGGACCGCTGATCTTTTTTCTTGTTCTTGCTTGTTTTCTTTTTTTTCTTTTTGGGTGACTAATTTTTTTTTAAAAAAAAAGGTTTGTCCACGATCTAGGGTAGGGCAATTAACCCTTGACCTCAATCCTACCCAGTGTTGTAACAACTAGGACTAGAAAAGCTCCATATGGGGGATCATCACATATTACGAGCTGAGACCTTAACTTTAAAGATGTCTCTTCTACCGTCGCAACATGCTCCAGGATCCAACCCACTCCCTTAGTAACCGTGTCCAATCCTTTTACTTGCTGAACCCACAAACGCGAGGGGTTATTTTTGTTTGTTTTTTGATTGGTCTGTAGTTCTGTATTGACTCTCTTTTTTACGTCAATAAAATCCTATATTTTTTTGTTTAAAAAAATCCTATTTTAAGAGTATAAAGTCTCTACACTAATAAATAAAATGTAAAATTATATATTTATATTAAAAAAATTGATGGTGTGATTTGTAAATAGGATAGAGAAATCTTCTTACCTACTATGTAAATAAGAGCTGAGGAGGATATTATAATTTTTTTATTATAATTCACGAACTCGTTAAATATACCTTTCACATATAGTTCAAATTCACGACTTCGCACTTAATAAATTTTTAAGAAGGTACCTGGTGTGATTTGGATTACACTTATTATATTATTGCTGCTTCGTGAGAATCATCCCACTTCTGTAAATATATATATATATATATATATATATCCCTTTCACCATCCATTTATAACAAAAATACCTCTTTTATATATGACGTCAATCTCCATTACTACTTCTCACATTCAAAATGAATGAGTGAGATCATCCAGATTAAGAATAATTAGTTGATCCCATAAGAGGGATGTGAGGAGGCCGCCGGCCAGCAAAATAGTTGTACTTATTACATAATGTACCTAATTAGTGTAGTCATTATTATAAATTAAGTAAGTTAAATTGAAGGAAGAGATTAATTGAGATTTCGATTAAGAATAAAAGGAGGGCGTGGTCGTGAACAAACTGAAGTGCGTGAAAGTTGAAGAAAAATATATAGATCAAGCCATGTGAGGGATGACTGGGCTTTAATTTGTCTATTGGGGTAATGCTTAAGGTTGTCATCATAATTAATGTTTAAGGTTGCAAATGTCCTCTGCCAACCCGACTTTTCTGCTTTGCAACCTTGCTGACACATATTTGTTTATCACTTTCAGCTCATTTCATTATACTACCTGCGCTCCTAATTATAAAAGCTAGTTGACTAATTTAAGGAGATTAAGAAAGTAAGTTGAGTTAGTTATTTGTCCTAAATAGGTATTGTATTTCCTAAAATATCCTTGCTAATCAGGTGTATTGACTAGAACTTTTATTATTAGAAGAGCTACTTTAAAAAAAAAGTATAAATATGAGAGATAAAGGAAATTGGAGTCTTATATTTATGACCAAAATAAAAGTCAAACAGGGTCTTGTATTAAAGACCAGAGGTAGCATTATTTTTCTAATTTCCAAAACATTTTGACTTGAACATTAAAGAGTATGACTTTATAAATAAAACATTTTTCTATTTATATATTCCTCTATCGGAGAGAAAAATATACTAGTACACTAAAAAACTTTCATGTGCAAGACTTGACTCACATAACCCGTAATTTATCTCTATAAATGAAGCTGGTATCCCATAA